ACAAATTCTTTGTAAAAAATATGCTACTTCAGAATCTAATTGTATTCCTGCACTTGTACATGGTAGAAAATATGAAGCAAAAGCTAGAGATATGTATTTGGAGTTAAATGGGAAAATTCACACTAATCTAAGATATTCCAGTGCAGGCCTGATAATCGATGATGAGCTTCCTTTCATTGGTGCCTCACCAGATGGTTTACTAGAGTGTAATTGTTGTTTACCGGGGTGCCTCGAAATTAAATGTCCATACAAGTATAAAGATAAAAATCCAAAGGAGGCAGCAGCATGTGATTTAAAAAATTTTGAACTAAGAAATGGATTTCCTGTTTTAAGGAAAAACAGTAACTCACCATATTATTGTCAAATGATGTGTCAAATGGCTGTTACAAAACGTACCTATTGTGATTTTATTTTGTACACACACTCAGGAATTTTTTCTGAAAGAGTGTTCTTCAATGGACAAATATGGGAATGTATGAAAGGAAAAATTGTCAAGTTTTATAAGACATTTATATTTCCAAAAATCATCATCAACTGAATTTATTATTATGCAATTTATATTTAAAAAATTAAAGAAATTGTTCGAAACATATCCAAATCAGTCACTTTTTTTCCTACATGCTTTGAATATTGCAGACTTAGTGCAGCATTACGGAACACTGATAAAAAAGATTTGTCCTTCATATAAACTTTTAATCAGTAAATCTGTAATAATAGATATGTCAATATAACAGTATATAACAGATAACACTAACATAAAACTTCCTTCATTCAAAACAGTGAACTAAATAAATATCAAATAAATAATGTGAAAGAATGAACTTTTGGCACAAAATTTAAGTTGTTGCACTTGTAATGTTATAGCACTTGCAAACAATAATCATGGTATTTTATTTACTTAGTTAGAAAATCTTATTTTTTCTGAACTTTGCTGACAAGGGGAGCCATAAAATTACAAAAAATACCCGCTACTTGTAAGGCTTGATTTGCAACAGACAATGATTTTATATACATAATACCATCAAAGAATTTGTAACTTTTCAGTCTCTGAATTGCACGCTCCACATGAATGCGCAATGAGGAAATGTTTTTCGACTCCTTAATTTGTTTAGATGTCAAGTATTTGCCTTTTCCATACTGACATGGCCGACAAAATGGTGGCATATTCAGCTGGGCTCCCCTTTGAAGAAGGAGGTCATTAATTAGAAATCCGCGATCTGCCATAACATGATCACCTCGCTGAATAAGATCTAGAAATCCACTTCTCAGAGTAATGCTGCGATCTGAAATGTTTCCAGACCATAATTCAGATATGAATGTAAAGGCCCCATTTGGTGAAATCCCAACCAGTGCTTTGAAAGTGTTCTTGTTTTTGTAATTTGACCAAGTTCTGCTCTGAGCTGAAGGATTCCTCGGACGTTGAACAAAGATCTCTGTTGCATCAATTATGACTCTTGTGTTTGGGTATTTTAAACGGAAGGAAAGAGGCATATGCTTTTTTATTTTTTGCCTTGATGGCCACTTAAGTAATGGTTTTAATTGCTGATCTAGGAAACACATCCATGTGGTGAATATGGAAGAAACTGTGGACTGAGACACGCCAAACAAAACTGAACAGAACATGGTGTTCAGGCCTAAACGCAGACGAAGTAGTGCCAAAATGAATTCTTCAAATAACTGCAGTTTTCTTTGTTTACCAGGTCTCCTTAAATTTTCTGAGTGCCACTTTTTTTCATGACTTGATGATCTACGAGTCCAATACTTCATACTGGAAGCTGCACCATTCAATATGTCGAACAAACCCTTTAAAAACAGAAGAGAAGGCAGCCCAAGAAAAAGTCTTACATGGTTGTCACACTTCGTTAGTTTATCTATTAAAATCTCTCGGAAAAGTTTGTCTTTGTTTTGAAGTTTGGATTCAACTTCCTTTCTTTGTCTTTCACTTTCATTTAACTGATTTTTCAGTTGTGTGTTTTCCTCTTGAAAAGCCACTACCCTCTCCTCAAGTTGTTCACAATGAACCTACAAAGTTAAGCACACATTAAATTTTTTTGAAACAAACATTAAAAACAATAGAGAATACATATTTGCTCAAACACCCTGTACATGTATTTATGTGACATAACATGAAATAATAAAAAAAAAACAATTGCTCTGCTGTAAAAATACCTTCAGATGCCTATTTTCATGTTCCAAATTTGTTATTAGGGTATCAGCATCTGCCCAGTCTGTGTCACTAAGATGAGATGAACCTGACACAGGACTCGCTACATATGGGTGGTCATGTTGCATGATACCAGGTAGGGAATATGGTGTATCAGTTGTAATTGGAACTGTGAAAGAAAAATACATATACAAAAGCATATTTTTATGCATATGAAAATATACTGGTTATGATCTTTTTGGATATATTTGTTATTATTGATTATGCAAGTTTCTTTAATCCAGACATTTCTGATAATAGAAAAAAAACATAGATAAATGACAAACTTTTTAAACAAAATCAAAGAAGTGTTATGTTTTTAGTTATTTTTAAGAAAACTGTGTCTTCCAACCTTTTCCTCCTTCCTTGTCAGGAATAATGATTTCATGCTGTATGCCTTGATATAACTCTGCCACTGGTACTGGCTGGACAAATACACTAGTCTGTGAAGTCCTTTGTTTTTTTCCTTCAGAGTGACTTTCATTTCTGCACGTAAAATGTTTGATTAACAGTTTTTATTACAACATAATTCATGCTACATAAAAAGATATTTGTGTGTGTGTGTTTCTGAATGAAATTTAGATATTGATTATTCATGCAAATTATATTGAATATATTCTTTACGCAAGAAATTAATATGTACTCTTGTTTCCTGTCACCCGAGCTACCCTAACATTTTACCCTGCAACCCTAACTTTTTTTTATATTCATGGGGGGGGGGGGGGGGGGGGGGGGGGGGGAGGGGGGCTATTTTCCTGAAATACTAAAGTCACCCGGCCAACAATATTAACAGAGCTAATACATCTAAAGTGCACAGGATACCTTTATTTTATAAATCTTTATTAATAAACCTGCTCTGTAAAGTGTAAACATACTGTTTTCTTGTTATTACATGATACATATTCTCCATCCATTGAGCTTTGAAATTAATTTTTTCCCTACCTACCTACCCTATTTCTTTTTTTTTGGTCAGGGAACAGGAAACAAGAATATATTTTCGTTTGGCCTAATAATCTGATAATAGAAATATGGGTATCACATTTTTATGTAAAATTATCATTGATCGAGAAGCTAAAATACAAACCCCTGGGAAGATGAAGTACTGTTGTATTTTGAAGTCAATGTTTTCCTCTTTCCTTGACCCTGGGCCTGGTCATGCATGTAGTTATTATATTCAAATAAAGTTGGTATTGGGTTAGTGTCAGTGGGTCTTCCATCTACAAAATGTCTGGAGCATACTGCGTGCCAATGATCTGTGTTACTAGGTTTGAAATTTTTACGACGTACCGCATTTATCCACTGGCGCCGAAGTTTTGGATTTTTAGTTGCGGAAGGCAATACATAAAAATTGACAACATTTCCATTTTTATCTACCATATGCGGGTATTTACTGAGTCTGTTAGATTTCCTGGAGTCATTGTTACATCCCACGGCAATACAATGGTAATTTACCATGGTTATTTGCAGGTAAGACGCGGTTATTTGACATCATAAGACATGACAAGTTCAGCAGCGCGTCCTTGTTTACAAAATGTTGCCCAAGTTCACGCCAAAAACGAGATCTCGTTAGACACACTAAATATTAAAACCGCGACGGAATTAAAGACGAAATAATAGTTCCGATGTTGGCTATTAATTTTTTCCCTACCTACCTACCCTATTTCTTTTTTTTTTGGTCAGGGAACAGGAAACAAGAATATATTTTCGTTTGGCCTAATAATCTGATAATAGAAATATGGGTATCACATTTTTATGTAAAATTATCATTGATCGAGAAGCTAAAATACAAACCCCTGGGAAGATGAAGTACTGTTGTATTTTGAAGTCAATGTTTTCCTCTTTCCTTGACCCTGGGCCTGGTCATGCATGTAGTTATTATATTCAAATAAAGTTGGTATTGGGTTAGTGTCAGTGGGTCTTCCATCTACAAAATGTCTGGAGCATACTGCGTGCCAATGATCTGTGTTACTAGGTTTGAAATTTTTACGACGTACCGCATTTATCCACTGGCGCCGAAGTTTTGGATTTTTAGTTGCGGAAGGCAATACATAAAAATTGACAACATTTCCATTTTTATCTACCATATGCGGGTATTTACTGAGTCTGTTAGATTTCCTGGAGTCATTGTTACATCCCACGGCAATACAATGGTAATTTACCATGGTTATTTGCAGGTAAGACGCGGTTATTTGACATCATAAGACATGACAAGTTCAGCAGCGCGTCCTTGTTTACAAAATGTTGCCCAAGTTCACGCCAAAAACGAGATCTCGTTAGACACACTAAATATTAAAACCGCGACGGAATTAAAGACGAAATAATAGTTCCGATGTTGGCTATTATGAAGCCATATTTGCAATTAAACATTTGAAATTGAAGAAGATTTTACATTTTTCAATTCACAATTAGTCTAAGTAAAGGATTAGAAATATGCTATAGTCTGTCCCACCAAGTTACTGTAAGCACTTTTCGCATAAAATCTCAAAATATATAAATACCTTGGCTTTCAACCCAGTTCCGATCGATAGATCATTTTTTTTCCAACCTTCCGCCGTTTATCCGAACCCTCGAGGTCAACCAGTGTATACACACGGCGGCAAATTCAAAGTCTACGGAGATTTAACATGGTAAACTCGTCCATTAGCGTCCAGATTACGGGGCCGGGAACCAGTTTTCGAAGGGAGTAGTCGTCCTTTGCAAAGTAAATTTCCAAAAAATCGTTAAAAATTCAAGGAATTAATTTAAATTGCTTTTATCGATAATATAACTTTTACTTTGAATTAAAATAAATTTTAACAGCATTTAACAAATTTAATTATAAACTACGAGAAAATAGTCCGAATCTAACGAAGTACAACTTGTGGATAATGGCTGTTGGCATGATGATGCAAGCTTGCCAGGCGCAGTGTTTAAAACGTAAGTTGTTTATATATTCTGTGGTACTTTTTGCAGCTGTTGTTGTTTTCCTAGCTTATATACACACAAGAAAGAAGTGTCTACAAATACTAAGAATATAAATATATTTCAAAACGCGTGATATTGCTGACATTAGAACAACAGCTCTCTTTGTGCTCATGGTTAACCGTTCGTGTTCAGTAACGGTCTGAATGTAAGCCCATGTGTGGAAAATGAAAAGGGGTGTTTCTATGATTATAAAAGAACAGAATATAGTTAAAAAATTAGGTGAAATAATACCAAAAAGAATATAACAGCTAGTTAACTTCGTAACTAAAGTTTTAAAATTTTATTCCTACTTTCATTTTCAATTTATAACATTTCATGTACATACTACATGCATTTGGCAAATAAATAATAAGCTAGAGATCTAAAGTGCATTTTTATTTTTTCATGTATGTGTTGTATCAACACCCTGGGGACATCAAAACAGTTTTCAATAGATGACACATTTTGGAATTATTTTTCAAAAACTTTTTATAATATTAAAATGTGCATGTAATTTTTCATCAAGTCTTTGGATTGAGTTCTATAATGGTCATTTATGTACATGCATGCATATTGATGAATTAATTAGCAGAACCAGACATAAAGTAGATGAATATGCACATACTGACTACTGTTTCAGAAAATAATGATTTGTCTTGACCTTGCAGTTTAAATGAGAAAGTAATTATATATGTAGTATTCATGAAAGGAAAACAGAAAAACTAAATAGAAGAACATGTCTGAATAGTTTGATCAGCACAAGAAGTTAAGATAGGCTTCATCTAAGTACAGACTTTAAAATAAAATTGATATACATGTAACATCAGAGGGAATCTTCCATTACCCGGTTATACTAGCTGTCATGCACATATTCAGAGTTCAAATTCTCAGTCTGGTCATCTCGAAAAAAAAAAATTTTGATTGCCCTGTCCCAACCAACTGGCTAAAATGACTCAAAACTTTTTTTTATCTCCAGGAAGCAATTAACTTTTTTTGTATTCTAGAGAACACATTATTTATTTATAATTACCGGTAATTTTTCTGAGAATAATTTTCTCATCTACCTGTATACCAACCTAATCCTGAGTTGGGAGAGGGCAGGCCTCAACAGCATTGTTTTTTCTGTAAAGTCCTATACTGCTCAAATGTGAACTTAATTTGAAAATTTCTGTTTCCTTAATTCCAAGATTTTCATTTAAAGTACTTGTTTTTAAAAACCGTAGAGCATAATTAAAATATTTTTGTTTGATGTACCCTGACACACATTTTTCAAGGTGGGTAGGTAGGTATCTTTTTTTGGCTTAATAATATTGATCAAATTGATATCAAAGTGTCATTAAAAAATTCCAGACTCAACAGAAATTTATTAATATTTTCAATACACACTGGATATCTAGACAGATGAAATATATATTGTTAAAAAATTATTAATCTAAAAGTATCCATTAGAAATCACATACCACAATTTTAAAAGGAAACAGTATCTATTTCTAATAAATAAAACAATTTTTTTTTAAATCAAAAATTCAAAGTGCTGAAAAAATGATTGAGTTGGGGTATTTTTGATGGGTCAGTCTGAGTACATCAAAGAAATTTGTTTATATTGTTGCCCTTATTTGCTAGTACTGTATTTGGTTGACTTGAACTTTGACCTACTTTACAAAGATACCCCAGAAACTTTAAATTAACTAAAGAGTTTTGAATATTGAGTGATGTATGTTGATAATTAACATTAATTTTATACATGTTTATGAGCTCATAAAACTGTTCTTTTAAACTATATGATATTCAGTAAACCACAAAAACTGATATCTTAATATTATGAAAATACATTGGGATGGAATCTCACAAAGTGGATCGTGCAATGTGACAATTGCTTTGAAATATGTAACACATGTAAAATGATAAATAATTATTTATGATGATTTCAACTTAATTATTCAGTTGAGGGTTGCATTCTGTATATGCTAGTAGCATAAAAATAGCTGACCACTTTTAGATTTTATAGATACATCTTTAATTAAAGAAGCTAAAAGCAGGTGACATATGTGTTCCTTGGAACACTTTAGTTTGTAATGATATTGATGTCCTGTACTCTTTTATAACTCTTTCTCTTCTTTCAGCAATGTTAAGCTTGATTTAACCACTGCAGTATAAGGAGAGAAGCAGACCAGAAACCCTGACTAAAGTAAAGATGATTTGCATAACAAAGGCAGTAAGTTTACCATATAATATTCAAGATCTTCAAAATATCCCGTCTCTTTTAAATACATGTATTGAGAATGATTTGTTGAAGCTCAGCACCTGTCAGATGTGACTGAATACATGTTACATTTTTCCCTCATCATTCGTAATCTTCTTCCAAAGAACCACTGGCCAGAAAAGTTGAAACTTATGCAGAAGCATCCTGGGGTAGTGTAGATTCTAAATTATTTAAATGACCCTTGGGGTAGGGTGGGACTACGATAGGGAACCCAACTTTTACATTGAAATATACAAGAAAAATCTATAAAAAAAAATCTTCTTTGGCATTACCAGTACTAGGCAAGCAAAGCTGAAACTTATGCAAAATCATTTTGGGGTAGTGTAGATTTTAAATTGTTCAAATTATGACCCCAGGGGTTAGGTTGGGTCACAAAAGGTATAACAAGGGGGAAATCTGGTAAAGAACTGCATCGTCAAAGCTATTCAGGTAATTATAAGTGATGTGGCTCATGAGCCTCTTGTTATATAAGTTGTGATATTTTACAGAAAATTTGAGAAAATATTAACTGCAAATCTGTGTCTAAGCACCTGTAATACTGCACTATCTCACCATTTGAAAGAATAAACAAACATTGATAAAAAAATGTAATTATAACTGAAGCATAGAATATTTGATTATACTTTTATTGCTTACTAAATTATGTTTTTATAGGATGAATAAATCACAAGAGTCCAAAGTTTTGATGACCATGCAGAGTCGAGATATTGAAACAAAGACATGCCTGCACTGTTCACTCAATTTTTCAGAATAACGTGTCAGATTGAAATCCATTTTATGTTGGACTAAACAATCAGGACATTTTTCTGGATCACAGGTTGTAAGTGTTTACATTGTATATGAATGAGAAAGATTTTGCTCTTCCTATGTATACTTCAGATTGAAACCTGAAAATGAGAATTGACCAAGTATATGTATTTTTGATAAGTAAACAATTCATATTAATATGATGAGCACAATCTGAATTTTTATTGTATCTTTATATTTCACTTTGCACAAATTTAAAAGTATTTTTTATGCACTGAAATCTTTATGATGATTTAAAATGTTTTATCATTAAATTTTTTTTCAGGCACAAAGTATTGACAAAATCAAAGATTACCTGGTATTCTGCAAATGGAGTGATCATTGGATGAGCCAGACAACACCATTTTCCTCAGAAATTTTAGAATAGAGGCAATCTCCATCTTCATAGATGACTGATGTTGACATTTTCTCACTTCTGTTTCATGTCTTTTCTACAGCATGGACTCCAGCATCAGTGGGCACTTGACAATTATTCTTCTTATTTTGTTCTAATATCCTTAAATATAGGACAAACAATTCATTTATCTTTTAAAATATTGTTAAATTTTACTTAATAAAACGATGAAAACAGTGCAAACAAACTGGTTTATCCTATAATCTAAAGCTGTTTTATGTCTCGAGCATTTATAATTTTACGAGACTTATTAAAAATCTGTTAAGGTACTTGGATTCTCAGCCAAGAAGGATAACTCTTTAATTTATAATTTAATTCAGAATCTCAAAATGAATCTTGAAAAATTAAATCTCTTCATGCAACAGTTTTTATTTTATCATGATAATGTTTATAACTTCTCAATGTCCTTTAAGGTTGTTTGAAGTTCTCAGAAAGTTCTTGTAGAAAGTTGAAATGTTAACCTAATATAGTAAAACTCTGTTAAGGAAAAGTCAATGGGACCTATGAAAATACTTTGCTTTAACCATAATTTGTTTTATCCGTATAAGGAATTCATTAATTTACATAGCTGGGGATCCAAGGTTACCTCGCTATATCTGTGAATTCGCAATATCTGTGTTCATATTTAGACAAATTTTTGATATAAAATCTCTTACTTAAATAAGAATTTTACTCTTAATTCACACAAATAAACAGAAATAATGATTTGACATTTGAGGGCGAGACAGCCCCATGACAATGGGCCGAGACAGAGATATCTCAGCCCCAAGGGAGAGACAGCTCTACTCAGGCCCAAAAAAATTATAGTCTTGTTTCCTGTTACCCAACCTACCTTAATTTTTCGCACCTGACCCTACAGTTTTTTAGGTTTGGAAAAAATCTGGAATTTCTGTAATTTCATGTTCCATGTTCTAAAACTGAAAAAAATAATGTATATTCAAGTGGTATTTTATGATACTACCGGGTATATGTTTTAAATATGGACTTTCATAACATACTACTTGAGTCATGCATCAAAAGACAAAATTTAATTTGTAATGAAAATATTGGTCTATGACATGTTTAATTTGGTGTTGTATTAGTTCATATCGAAAATAAAAAGAAATTAAAAAAATAAAATAATTTTCCTGCCTACCTACCCAATTTTTTTTCAGGCTGGTAGCAGGAAACAGGATAATTATTTTTTTGGCCTTACAAGGCACTGTCTCACCTAGTCCAAAACATCTGTATCAGAGCAGATACACTACTAGGTATATGATATAGGCATATATGCATGTTTGCGTACTAGGGAACGGTCAATGAATAAACTTACTTATAAAATTTACAAATACAAAAGGAAAAAAAATTGCTGGGACTCAAAAATCAAACTCAAGAAACCTGCATTATTTCATACCTTCAATATATATGTATCTGCAGGTACTTATGGCTTAACATGTATAATGTACATGTTTGTGCTTTTCTATCTTGTAGTTGCACCAGGCAGCTATTCAGATTCCTGCAATGAAAATTTTTGTGCTGAAAACTCATAAAAATTAGAAGGCTTTCTGTTAAATTGTTTTATTGAAATAGGGAAAGGAAAAAAAATTATAATATATTTTTAAAAATCATAATCCTTCACACTTGCATTCTGTATTTTAATTTTATGTGTATAGGAATATTTTAAATTTTGGTATTCTGTTATATTTAAGGTAAACAAAAATGTATATCCTGGGTCTGAATTTACCTAACACCGATACATTACAGGAAGGTTTGGAAGGGCAAGGTCAAAATTCATTGGTGACGTAGTTTAATTGATGCAGACAACAAACGTTGTTTTGCACCGAGATTAAAAATAAAATATCAACGAAGGATTTATGTGTTCAAAGAGTTGGAAGTATAACAAAGTCAGGAAATACTGTAGCATGTGCATGTGAGGACATCACTTGTTCACATACTGTGACATAGAAACGATAATATGACTTATTTTGACCGTGTGTTACAGTTTTTTAACAAACGTAAAGGAGTTGGATTTATAAGGAAAGCTAAGGTGAAACGTTAAGGTAAGGCAGCAATTATAATTTTTAAAAATCTTAATCCTAGTGATATTACTTTGATTGATCTCTAATGTTACGTGTTGGCTATAAATTATAAAACTAATTTTACTTGAGCTAAATTTGCAGTAGCCTAGCCTCGATTATTCTATCGAAATGTTATGTATGAATTGAGTCATACCTCTTTGCCTTTATGCAGTGACTAACCCTTTTATGAATCTTTGGTCCCTTGGGTCTCAGTCTGGGTATGAAAGTTTGTTGAAGAAGTAATATTTCTTGTAGTATAAATATATACTTGGAAGTCTCGGGCGTTATAGGTTTTTCGGACGTCGATAACCATAGAGCACTCCCGAACGTGTGTGACGTCATTTCCTTACTGACGACGACGTACGGAAAATTACGAACAATGGATGATCCCCTTCCGAAGTGGTGGCCATTTTGACAATGTTAAATCTCCGTAGACTTTGAATTTGCCGCCGTGTGTATACACTGGTTGACCTCGAGGGTTCGGATAAACGGCGGAAGGTTGGAAAAAAAATGATCTATCGATCGGAACTGGGTTGAAAGCCAAGGTATTTATATATTTTGAGATTTTATGCGAAAAGTGCTTACAGTAACTTGGTGGGACAGACTATAATAGTAAATATCAATGACGCAACATTTATTTAATTCTTAGCTTGTCCAAGAACTTTACGGTCAACCCTCATATACGCAATAGTTGAATTTCTTGTTGCCCTATATTGTTGCATTTTTGACTAACGTTGCTGCAACCTCATTGTGTCATCCGTGTTTATTTCTACATGTGAGTATACACGAAAATGGTAGTCAAATCAATTTCACAGTTGGCTTTGTAGAAAAACACAGCGAATGTAAATATTACATATTGTACTAAACTTTACTTCCAGAGGTACTAACTTGTCTTACTACTAGATTTGCTGAAATACGAACCTGAGTCAGAACTAAGTTTGACTGACAATACTGTTAACCAGCTATTATTTGCGTCATATTTTATTTGCGATTAGACAGATTGCAATCAGTCTTCAGTGTTTAATTTTTGTGACCGCGGTTAAAAAACTTTCTCTACCAAAACAAAGCAAAATAAATGGCTTGCAGCGATTAATATTTGCGAAACTCATGTACATATCTCACACGTCAATAATAGTTGGTTTAATCTATATCAGCTCTAAATCCTCAGTACTTACTTGACAGTTGCCCATTCTTAGCTCCCACACTCGAGTCATCTTTCGCTCTGTCTGGGGGGTTAGCCACTAAAAGTAGAAAAAAAAAAATCGTATTCAGGGCTTGTCACATAATCTGCAGAGTTCTCAATGTTTAAGTGTTCTTTATAACATATTCAAGGCTTGTCATAATATCTACGGAGTACTCTTAATGATTTAGTGTTCTTTATAACATCTCACATTCCTCCTCTTCAAGAAATGCAAGACCAAGAGTCATCATGATGAAACAACGATTATCTGAACAAATATTATTTATATACGCCATAGCTGACCACTGACAAACCGTTTTTGACATGACATTTAGTTTGTTTCCATTAACATTGACAGTTTTCTCTTGATATCCCTGGAATTGTATGTTAGCTAGGGTAATACATCCATGCTTGAACAAAATGCAAGCTTGCATGTTTGATGTTCTACTAATTACCCACATTTCTTTAGAGGATACGATGAAACCAAAAGTCATATTATTTTCTTATATATTTTTTGAAAATTAGATTATCATTATGTATATGAACAAGTTTGTGATAAGACAAAATATCAGCATAAACCTCATAGAAATACAGAACTTTTGAGCATGATACAAGGGATTGCATGTCTGGACAAAGTTTTCTGTTGAAATCAAAGACCAGAAAGTCTGGCAAGAAATGCATATTCCAAAGTCTGCGACCATTCTGATCTGGTCAGTTTGACAGACATAAACAGACATTGGTCATTAAGACAATGGTCATAAAATAGGGATTTGGCCAAGACCCAGTGTAATGAGTTACACGGTATCCCAATATTAAGCTTATTTTATTACCCCTTTCATCAATTTTTCTTGGTTACTAGGAAAAGACGACCCTTGAAACTAAAATGGAAGCAATGGACCAGAGGACTTTAACGAAGAATCGGGCAATAAAAACCACAGTGCCGATTCCCTGTCTCCCCCCTCTAAGAATGTCTACTGTATTGATTCCTCTGTGAAATCTTTGCATCACGAACAGTTTGTGTCAACAAATCTACTGCTGATTGTAAACAAAATCTGACATCAAATTATAAGGCCTGTTACTCTTTGAAGAAAACCAAACTCAAAGTTTAACAGTCAGTGACACTGCATGACTCAAAAGACTTCACCAGTTCAACAGACAGAATGATTGTGTGATCATTTATCTTCAAACCCGTGAGGATGGCACCAGACCTGCCTTTTATTATGTTTTTAATTACAGTATGTTCAATGAAATCAGAAGTATGTTACTCAGGTTCATCAACCAAACAGAACATAGTCCTGTACTTTTGTTTTATTTTAAATTCTTCAAATGTTACTCAAATTAGCTTCACTTTGAAAAGCAGAGTACGTCCTGACAATATCTCATAAGAATGCAGATCGAGCTAAGTATTTTAGGAAAAGGTTGGGGTTTTTTTTGAAATGGTTTTATACATATTTTTTTTACTTCATAAAGATAAAAGAGGGACTGTCTGTATAATATAAGAATGTGCAATAACAAGAGGCCCATGGGCCACATCGCTCACCTGAGAAGCTTTGACCATTCTGTTCTTTACCAGATTTCCCCCTTGTAATACATAATGCATCCCCACCCTACCCCACTGATCATAATTTAGACATTTTGAAATCTACACTACCCCAGGGTCCTTCCTTGTGCACATAAGTTTCAGCTTTTCTGGCCCAGTGGTTCTTGAAAAGAAGATTTTCAAAGATTTTTCATATATATTTCTATGTAAAACTTTGATTACCAATTGTGGCCCCACCCTTCCCTCAGGGGTAATGATTTGAACAATTTAGAATCTACACTACACCAGGATGCTTCCACATAAGTTTCAGCTTTTCTGGCCCAGTGGTTCTTGAGAAGAAGATTTTCAAAGATTTTTCCTATATATTTCTATATAGAATTTTGATTCCCCATTGTGGCCCCGCCCTTCCCCCGGGGGTCATGATTTGAACAATTTAGAATCTACACTATACCAGGATGCTTCCACAAAAGTTTCAGCTTTTCTGGCCCAGTGGTTCTTGAAAAGAAGATTTTCAAAGATTTTCCTATGTATTTCTATGTAAAATTTTGATTCCCATTGTGGCCCCGCCCTTTCCCTGGGGGTCATGATTTGAATAATTTAGAATCTACACTACCCCAGGATGCTTCCACGTAAGTTTCAGCTTTTCTGGCCTAGTGGTTCTTGAAAAGAAGATTTTCAAAGATTTTTCCTATATATTTCTATGTAAAATTTTGATTCCCCATTGTGGCCCCGCCCTACCCCCGGGGGTCATGATTTGAACAATTTAGAATCTACACTACCCTAGGATGCTTCCACATAAGTTTCAGCTTTTCTGACCCAGTGGTTCTTGAGAAGAAGATTTTTTAATGACCCCACCCTATTTTTGTCTTTTCTTGATTATCTCCCCTTTTGAGGGGACTTGGCCCTTTATTTTAACAAGTGAAATTCCCCTTCAACCAAGGATGCTTTGTACCAAGTTTGGTCAAAATTGGCCCAGTGGTTCTTAAGAAGAAGTCAAAAATGTGGAAGTTTACAGACGGACAGACAGATGGACGAATGGACGGACGGACGACGGACAAAATGTGATCAGAAAAGCTCACTTGAGCCTTCGGCTCAGGTGAGCTAAAAAAGGATAATAGTTATGCATATTACTGTGGCCTTTTTCCTCAAAAGCTTGATCGACTGTGATCATTTTCATAACTGAAGTGATTGTTTTTGGACCTTTAGTTTTAATAATATCTTTCAGACATCTTCACAAATATAATCGGGTCATATCTGAAGATTTTCGAATCCAGTCATCATAACTAGTTTTGAAGTTGTAAAAATTAATATTTTCTTTTATTTACAGAAAAATCCTGATTAAATGTGACTTAATCAGAACAAATCACTATCTACCTAAAATTAAAAAAGAACTGCCCTTCTCCATGTTGTAAAGCATATATTAATCACATTGGTCAGAAGGTTGCCAAGCACAACATTGAGTTGCTTGGTAACATTTCTTAGACCATAGTGATTTATAGTTATCATTATTTCTGAATCAACATCCTATCTGGAGATTAAAATGGAAATAATCAAATAAATCATAAACCATCTAAAAATATTAATGGATATTAACTTAAATTGTTGTAATGAAATATATGGAGATAAAAAACAGTATTCAAGCTCAAAAGTCCAGTAAAGAATACTTAATAGGAGCAGTGCAAACACAGACCTAAAAAAAAATCAGAGGTGGGATCGGGTGCTATGGAGGAGTGAGCATCCCCTCCAGAATGGTCACACCCAATAAAATTCATCCAAATAACAAAGACTGGTGATGATTAAGTTAAACCTCCTTTGGTTTACTGATAACATGGTAACGAACTCAAGTTCATTTTATCAGTTTTTCATATTATTTAGCTAATACTTTCACATAACTAATGATTTTCTTTATCACATTTTTAGGCTTTTTGGATTTACAAGGAAATGAATAGCAAGCCTACAGCTTAAAATGGACCCAGCTTATATAAGATAGTTTGGTAAATTTCTGTTGGTTAGCAATACAAGATTGAGAAAATAAGAAAAGCCTGGCTTCTTCTAGTTGAAAATTTAAACAATAATTAAAACCTAAAACAAAAGTAATGATTTACAAATAAGTATGAAGAATAATACCTCTCAGATCCTCAAAAAAGGAAAAATTTCAAAACAAAACACCAATGTTAAGTGAAATACTGTTGCTAAATTTTGCAACACCTTATTTTTGCGAGATTGCTTCTCCAAGTATTTAAAAGCAGATCAAAATTTTAAAGAATTTCGGTTAGTGCTCTTAGTCTTTAAGATTATAATTAAGGAATAACTGTCTTATTTTTTGATTTCATGTGATCAATCGATTTGCTTGCATCAAATTATAATGCAAGCAAATCGATTGATCATCATCATGAAATCGAAAAATAAGACAGCTATTCCTTATTAATTTACATGCTCTTTATTCCACAAATCCATGTGCTACAAGAATAGCTTCTTTCTAGCTATTTGTCCTGCCCTGCTCATGATTTTTTTTTTACCGCGCCTATTGATGAACAAGTACATTCATGGAGAAATAAATAGAGGATATTCAATGTTTTGTTGTTGAATATGGAATTTATTTCACGAGTGGGACAGGATTTTTGATATTTTCACGAGAGCGAAGCACGAGTGAAAATATAAAAAAATCCTGTCTCACGAGTGAAATAAATTCCATATTCAACTACAAAACATTGAATTTTCTGTTTATTACATTTAAAAAAAAAAAAATCTATGATTTTCCTTTGCCTCTGTCTTTTTGTAATACAGTCATAGGCTCATGACGTCATAGTTGAGCGGTTGAGACGTCATAGCTAAGTGAGGTGAAAACACTCTAAACATGGATTTAGCAACATATTTCTGGTAATTTTGACAGTTTTATTCACGGTCAGAATGGTTTATTTATTTCCATCTATCTTATAATAGGTCAATGTAGATTTTTTTACAGCAATCTTCGTTATGGGAAGGGAAATCTTGAGTTTTCCCAAACTTCTGATATTCATCACACTGTGACAGGATATCATTTTGATATCCTTTCACACTGTGACAGGATATCATTTTTATTCAATGAATAAATTACAGTATTTCATGGGTAAAAATGTAATAAAGTACATTAACTATATGTAATTTTATCTCGGACAAAGACATTGGAAATGTAAATACTTAAATATAAAAGCAGATGGTCTCCAGTGATTATACAAAAAAAGTTCTTACAAACCATAAAAAAATGATTTACAGTAAACCAATCTCTGTCCTCCCATATTCTTGAGATCACTTGAATGTAGTCATTTACATTGTGAAACAAAATTAGTTCAAGTACATGCAAACAAATGTGTCAATCATAATATTATTTAAAGAATAGAATTTAAAGCATCAAAATACCTCTAAATAAGATTTCCATTAACCTAAGTTCTGCACTGAGAATATCCACTCAAACGCTCTCAAATTAAATTTACTTCCTAAACACAGAATAAAGCTAAATCTTAATACAACAGATTCTCAGA